AATCCTGATGTTGATCAGTCATTCATTTGAGATTTCTATTCTAAGTTCACACGTTTTTCCGTCACTTTATTTTTATTTATCGGAGTTGAAATCAATCACGTGAATTCTGCACACAAAAAGAATTCTACATTTGCCTTGCGCTTTCTCTTCCTCTACTCTATTTTAAAATCATACGATTTCAAGTATGTCCATCAATGTTCAGATAAATTTTTTTTTGAAATGATTACATTTGCAATAAATATAGACTAAAAACTCTCATCTGAATGAAAAAATGCCAATCAATTTCAGAATAATTGCACGCCAACCAATATTTCCAATTCATATAGAGATAGATATCAAGACACATAATTCTATCAATATATCCACAAGAGCTTATATCTGTTTCAAATTTTATCGGATGTTGCGAACCAACAAATAACGATTACAGGCTCACTTGTAATAATATTAAAAACGTTCGTTCCAATTTCTGAATATCGTCATTTCACTTAAAGATACTTGAAGCCGAAGAATATGTCTCATGATCTGAGAAAATCGAGGCACACGTTTTTGAAAATAAGGCACCAATTCAATAAATGGTCTTACGACGGTCTCTTAATTGCACCGATTAAAAGGACGGACCTTTAACGTAAGGATTTTCTAGGAATTGGGTCTGATTTCTCCACCGCACACCTCATAGCTCAGATACTGCGTAGTAGGTTCAAGAAACCCACATTTGGTAACGTTAAATGGCAACCCTGGTACAGTCAACACATTTAATACAACCTTCAGCCTTCGGAAAGCCTTTTCTTCCGAGTTTGCCATGATTAACACGTCATCTATGTAAACTATCGCAAATAATCATGATAAATTCCAAACGCCTTAACAATTGCATGATGAAGGTAGAAGATGCACTCTTCAAACCAAACGGCACGGCAGACCAAACAGACGGCAACTCGTAATTTTTTAATTAATTATTTTTCAACAGAAACATTTTCCTTCACAGGGTCTGACATAAGCGGCAAAGGCCACTGTCCGAAACCATTTTCGAATATTGCTCCCGATAGTCTAAGCACAACCTATCGCATTGCACAACATTGCAATCAAACACTTCTCTATTCCCATCTTTAACCAACAACTTTATGTCCAAACCATGTGTGTGGGGACACTGCACTATTCATGTCTACTAGGCGAATTTCTAAAGCACCAGTATATAAGCACGCTAAATTTTGGAACTTGACACATGAAGCCATACACAAAACTGTTTAATATTTCCTTCAGGCAACATACAACTCGCTGTTATTGTTAATCACATATTCCAGCTTTCATTTCGTATTTTATTAATTACTTCAGCCCCTCAGAGAGCAAAGCGCTTGCTTGAATCAACAAGCCACTAGGCAATCGTAGGCAATCTTCAATAATTACATGAAATAGAATCCTCAAGCTGAATTTAGAAGTCTGTATTTTTGCCAACTTTTGCAAATGGCTCGCAACCGAATTCAGCTCCCAAATCAAAGAATAAATGGAAAGGGCTCACCCGATACTGTCAATGTTAAATCACACAAATCAACTCGCTTCTACATACATGCGGCCGCCGCTGCCGCTCGCAGCCGCTGATACCCATCTTGTGCACAGAGATGCAATGTGACCACTGTTATCACGCCTGAAGCGCGTCACTCCAGCTCTTGGCACTTCAGCCGCAGTTCCGCCCGTGTGCTGTTGTTGTTGTCTTCCATTCTTCCCCAAATTTTCTGGCCGACAATGATGACACTTGCAACCGTCCGGCTCAACACGCGACCAGTGCATTTGACTGCCTATCACGACTCCGGTGTCTCGCACCACGCGGCTGCGCAACCTTTCGATGCGCTACTGAATTTAATATCGACCGAAAATCACTTTATCAGAATGCCCGCGAGGCTATGGTGAATCCCACTTCTGATGTCGGAGATAACCGTTATTTAATTTAACCGTAGTCGAGCCAGCGAGTTCTGTCCGCCTGCGCACTCAAAACGTATCTGTCATCACGTCACTTTTCCTTTAGCCTTTTCACATTTTCTTATTTTTCACTCAAACCTCAATCCTAGACAATCTCTAGCTGTCTCTTTCACTCTTTCCTATTGTTGCGACAGACGAACAGACCTCACTCAGTAACAGACAGTCTACTGTCCTTCATGATAGAATTATACATACATAATACATAATTGTATCATGCTGTCCTTTTCCTGTTACCGACTCAACTGTCATTGCGCCTGCGCGCCAGCGACACCTACAGGCTACCAATACCTGAGCATGCCGAATAATTATGTTGCCATAGCAACAAGCTTTCCAAATTTGCACTTAGCAACCAACTCGCCGACATGTATATATATTTAATTGTTCATTTCATAAGACGCACTTTGTAAATTAATCAAATTCCCACTGCCAAGATATGCGGGGAAAAATATTCGTATATAGAAGACAAGAAAAATAAATATGCCACACAAAATTTCACCAACAAAAAATTATATACTGGTTGTTTGCACACCAATTAAATAAACAAATAAATCTGGCAAGAATATAAATTAACATAAATAAATGAATAAATATGGATAAATAACAAAAATAAATAAAAGTTGATAAATAAATACGCAACTAAATACTATATCCACCATGAATAATTGAATAAAATATTAATTAAAAGTTGTTGAAGCCTTCTGGGTCCCGGTGCCGCCACTTGGGAGGCGAGTCGGTCTTCCACGACGAAAAAAACGAATAAAGGTATACTCTATAGGCCCTCCCGCAACATGAAAAGTACTGGCGACCGCTCTAGGGGCACCTATGCCTCCAAATTAAATTATCGGTTTCGCCGCCGCACAGTAGCGCCTTTTCTCATTTAGCGTTGCAAAAATCATATCTTTTGAACCAAATAAGGTAATCGAATTATTTAAACGGCATTGGACAGGTAATTGTTGTAAAATGTATATATGTATAAGTACCACGCCCACAAATACGCCTTTTTAAAGGGGATCAAAGTGAAAAAATAATTTTTTTTCAATGAAAACAATTTTTAAAAAATATTTTTTATTTAATTTGTTATGTTTATTTTTATGTATTTGCTCAAATAAAAATAATTTGAAAACTGAAAGAAAAATTTTTTTTATTTCAAAGTGTAACCGCCACGCGCTACAGTTAGTATATTTCGTGGAATGTATGAAATTGTGTCGGTATTTTGGTATATATCACCAAAGACAATACAATTAACAAGATGCCTCACGCCCATACATTCGTTTTGCAATATGGGGCTTCATTTTTGATAGCAACGACAATCGCGTTCTAAAAATAGAATGCGTTTGCTTGTATGAGTAAACACAAGAACACGCAAGCGCGTATGTGTGCGAGAATATGTGTGCGCCAGCGCGCAAGCACCAAAAAATGTAAAAATGTGTTTTGTGCTAGCGACCGCTTGTTAAGGGCGATGCACAGTAGCGCCTCTCGAACAATTAGCGTTGCAAAAATCGAAAAAGTCGTTTTCGCAAAAACGATTTTAACCATACTTATTCGACAGAACATTTCTCAAGGATTGAGAATCTGTAATAAAATCAATTAAATTTTTTTTTAAATTCTAAGTGTAACCGCCACAAAACCGTGAGCGCTACAGTTAGCATATTTTTTTTATTATTATGCAGTACATATATATATTTTACAACAATTATCTGTCCGTTCAAATTATTAGGTTATCGTATTTGGTTCAAAATATATGATTTTTGCAACGCTAAATGAGAAAAGGCGCCACTGTGCGATAGTAGCGGCAGCAAAAACAGCTGATCTCGAATATGGATTGTAATTGTATACAAGTTCACCAGAAAATCAGTAAACTAAATTTTATTTTCATCTGTATGTATATTTTATAATTTTATTATTAAATAAATATGCAAAATAATACATATAATTGATTTAAATACATATATAATGTAGTAGGCTATACCGATAGTTTAACACTAATACCGATACTTATAAGATACCGATGTTTAGTCTGTTAAGCCGATGTAAAATAACATAGGTCAGAAAGCGCATCGCTAATTCTGCCATTCTGTGTGACGGCGTAAAATAAAGAAGTTGAGAAAATAAAGACGCAGTGGTAAATTCAAGAAATCATCCAGAAAGTGCATTATTTGTCTGCCACAAATTCAGAAGTGGTCAAATCTACGCCATGAATATGAATGAAGCTAATTTAAACGCATTTTCGGTCATCCAGCTAAAAAGATGGCTTTCAGCGTTGGGTTTGTCAACCCAAGGTGCAAAAGCCGAATTGATGGCCCGTCTTGGGCAAATACCGCTTGAAATTCGAGGCCAAGTACCAGACGAAGAAACCGGCCAGAATTTCGGAGAAGATGAGCCTGGCGCCGCCGGCACTGGACTCCAGTTGGTCAACACCGATCCTGAAAATCCAGGGCAAGCGACGTCGCAGGAAGGCGCTTCCGAGAATGTTCCAGAACATGACGAACTTCTTGGAATCATCACGCAGCTGCGGGCAGCACTTCTTGCGCAGCAAAATGCGTTGCACCGAGCAGAAGAGCGCGGCGCCATACAGCAACAACAAATCGAGGAGCTCAACGCCATCCAACAAATACAAATGCAACAGCTAGAAGAGACAAGCGTCGCCACAGACCTACATCAGCAAGAAGAGACACGCATCGCCACACACACAACAGCAAGAAGAGGCGCGCGACGCCATACAAATACAACAAGATCAGGCAGTCGGCAACAGCGGAAATTTGAGCGTCCCTGTGAACCCAATTGGAACGTTACTGAGTGGCAACGCTGGCAATGTGAACGTCCCAGAATTCACCATCAGAAACGGACTATGTGGCAACGCCGACGACAACCAGGGAGAGAGACCATTTACCAGGGTTGGATCAGCGGCATCACTCTCTTATGCCAAGGAAGCTGCCATCGATTTCGAAGGAAATATTTGCGCACGCAACTGGGTGGATCACGTTAAAAACATAGGCCAGATCTACCATCTAAATGATGACTGCCTACGAATGTTGCTCGTTACCAAACTAAAAGGCAATGCACAGCGTTGGCTACACGCCAACCCAACTCGAATGCTGGAGTCTTTCGACAGGCTGTGCGAGCAACTGATCATTGCATTTGGAGAAACAGCGTCCAAGTCGGAGCTGCGTCGAAAGTTTGAGCAACGCAAATGGCAAAGGAACGAGCGTTTTACAATGTATTTCGAAGAGAAGGTAATGATGTCCCAAACCATCAACATGGATATGGAGGAACTGCTGGAACAACTCATCGAGGGAATCCCGTCGGCGAGCTTGCGTGATCAAGCCCGCATCCAAAGGTTCGCCAATCCGGAGCAAATGCTACTAGCATTCGCCAATGTACGCCTACCGCAACAAGCCGGAGTCTACGCACCGAAGAAGTCAATGTCGGCGGCGGCGGACGTCAACAACCTGCGCTGCAGGAACTGCAACTCTAAAGGCCATTTCGCCAAGGACTGCCGCAAGCCAGCAAGGGCACCTGGATCGTGTTTCGCTTGTGGAGAGATGGGCCATTTTGTGGGAGAATGCCGTCTGAGGAAGAGCAACAACAGCAGCAACGTTAACGATTATGTAAGACGGTTACAAATTTTTTTCATTTCTTTCAATAATTTACCTATTGTTGCAGAATGTCTCATAGATTCAGGAAGCGCAATCTCATTCATTAAGCAGTCAAGAATTCCATTTGAAGTAGCATTAAAAGCAGTTGATCAAGTGTATCATGGGCTAAACAAAAGCCAACTTAAAGTTTTTGGAAAAACGTTTTGTTTCATTTTAAAAGGAAAAATAAAGATTAAATTTGAGATGATTGTCGTTGCTAATGAATCAATGAGACACGATGTAGTTCTGGGAAGGGATTTTATGAATCAATATGGTCTGAGCATGAATCTGGACACCCTCAACATAAATAGAGATATTAATAATACGATTGAAGCACATGGGGAAAAGGATCAGCAACTAGCAACCGCCGTAGTAGCCAATCGCGACTCCAGCGAAACTGTATTAGAAAATGAAATTGTTATGAAAAAACTGTTAGGAAATTCAACTGTTATGGAAAATGAAACTGTTAAGGAAAAATTGTTAGAAAATGCAACTGTTAAGGAAAAATTGTTAGAAAATGCAACTGTTAAGGAAAAATTGTTAGAAAATGCAACTGTTAAGGAAAAATTGTTAAAAAAAGCGATGGTTACGGAAAAATTTTTAGAAAATGAATCTCCTGAGGAAAAATTATTAGAAAAGTCAACTATTATGGGAAAATTACTAGGAGGTGTAAATGTTGAAAGAAATTTTAGAGAACAGGAAACACATAACGGAAAAAGTGTAGAGAGCGATACTTTTAATGAAAAAACAGAAATTTTAGCAGACGATTTTGAAACCGAGATGCTAAACATTAACGTAGTTGATGATCAATTTTCAGACTACAACTGTGGGTGCGATGTAAGCTATGAAACGAAGTGCAAATTTATTAAGATGTTTGAAGAGTCATATGTTAACGCAAAGAGACCAGATACTCCGTTTACCAGATGCGAGATGAAAATTTGTTTAGAGAAATCCAAACCTTTCAGTTGCTCACCTAGGCGACTTTCTTTTAGTGAAAAGGAGCAGCTTCAGAAATTATTAGACGAATATTTAGACAAAGGCATAATAAGAAACAGTGATTCAGAATATGCTTCTCCCATTGTACTGGTAAAGAAAAAAACAGGACATTTGCGTTTATGCATAGACTATCGAAAATTGAACAAAGTTTTGATAAAGGACAATTATCCGTTGCCTTTAATAGATGATCTTTTAGACAAGTTAGTGAATAAAAAAGTGTTTTCAAAGCTCGACTTAAAAAATGGATATTTTCACGTATTCGTTGGCGATGATTCAGTTAAATATACGTCATTCGTAACTCCATTAGGGCAATTTGAATTTTTAAGGATGCCTATGGGTATCAAGAATGCATCAGCAGTATTTCAGCGCTTTGTAAACAAAATTTTTGCTGATTTAATACGCGAAAACAAGGTCATAGTATACATGGACGACATAATGATAGCCAGTGCAGATATAGAAGAACATTTAGAAACATTGAGAGAAGTGTTTAAAAGACTGATTAGTAACAAGTTAGAACTTCGTATGGACAAATGCGAGTTCATGCAATCCAGCATTAAGTACCTTGGATTCCTTATTTCTAAAGAAGGAATCAGAGCAGATGATAGAGGTATCGATGCAATCACAAACTTTCCAATTCCTGAAAAAGTGCACAACGTTCAAAGTTTCTTAGGACTATGTTCTTATTTTAGAAGGTTCATAAAAGATTTCTCTACATTAGCTAAGCCTCTGTATGACATTTTAAAGAAAGACAAAGAATTTTCTTTTGAAGAAAGAGAACTTAACTGTTTTTTAAACCTTAAGAAAAAACTGATAGAGTCACCTGTTTTAGCAATTTATAATCACAAGGATGAGGTTGAATTGCATTGCGATGCAAGCGCGATGGGTTTTGGTGCAGTTTTAATGCAAAGGAAAGGAGATGGAAAACTTCACCCCGTGTTCTATTTTTCGAAACGAAGTACTGAGACTGAAGCCAAGTATCACAGCTTTGAGCTAGAAACTCTAGCTATTATCTATGCCCTGCGTAGGTTTCGGATCTATTTACAAGGGAGGCATTTTAAAATAATAACAGATTGCAATTCTTTAACGTTGACTTTAAACAGAGTCGAACTGAATCCTAGAATCGCCCGATGGGCACTTGAACTTCAAAATTATGATTATGAACTGATTCATAGATCCGGAACAAAGATGCAACACGTAGATGCTCTGAGCAGATGCAATATTTTGATTGTAGAAACCACTACTTTTGAGGACAATCTTTTAATTTGTCAATCGAAAGATATAAAAATACAGCAAATCAAAGAAGAGTTAGAAAAGAATCAGCACAAACTGTTCGAAATGAGAAATGGCGTTGTATACAGAAAAACAGTTGACGATCGTTTATTATTTTATGTCCCTGAGGACATGGAAGGTCCCGTTTTGCACAAATATCATAATGAACTTGGTCACATTGGTAGAGATAAGATGGTAGACGCTATTTCGAGGAGCTATTGGTTTAAAAATATCAAAGACAAATGTAAGAATCACATCGAGAATTGCCTAAAATGTGTAGCTTTCTCTCCAAACACAGGTAAATCGGAAGGTTTCCTTCACAGCATTCCCTAAAGGCGATAAGCCATTTGAGCTATTACACATCGACCATTACGGACCAGTGGCCGCAGGAAGGGCGAATAAACACATATTTCTTATAGTAGATGGATTTACGAAATTCGTTAGATTATATCCAACCAAGACAACAAGCACAAAAGAAGTTCTAAAAGCTTTATCGGATTATTTCAGGGCTTATAGCAAGCCAAAATGTATAGTTTCTGATAGAGGCAGTTGTTTCACATCTAACGAATTCGGACAATTTTTAACAGAAGCAAACATTAAACATCTCAAAATAGCGACAGGTTCTCCGCAAGCAAATGGACAAGTGGAACGGATTAACAGGACAATAGGACCAATGATAGCAGAGTTAACTGAGCCTGAAAATGGTATACACTGGGATAATGTAATCGAACAAGTAGAATATGCACTCAACAACACTGTACACAGAAGCATTAAACAAGTTCCCAGTAAGGTGCTCTTTGGTGTAGAGCAGAAAGGCCAAATTATTGATGAGCTTAGGGAAAAATTAGAAGAAATTAACGACACAACCCAAGTAGAAAGTTTAGAGGAAATAAGAAGACTGGCAATGGAAAACCAAAATCGAGCACAGGCATACAACGAAACATATTATGATAAAACAAAGAAAAAGCCAAAGGATTATGCTAAAGGAGATTACGTAATGGTCAAAAATTTTGACAGCACTGCGGGGGTTGCTAGGAAGTTGATCCCAAAGAACAAAGGCCCATACATGATTGCTAAAATACTGCGTAATGACAGGTTCTTGCTAGAGGATGTTGAAGGTTTCCAAGTTTCACGAAATCCATACAAGGGTGTATGGAGTGCTCAAAACATAAGACCTTGGATAGGAAAACAAACAAATCCTTAAAAAAAAAAGATAATAATAATTAAAAGAATAATGTATACTAAACTATTGTTATTGGATAAGTTGTTGAACAAATTAATACAAATAATGTCTAGTTCATAAGAAACCAGGATCAGGGGATCCGTATCGTCAGGATGGCCGAATTGTAGTAGGCTATACCGATAGTTTAACACTAATACCGATACTTATAAGATACCGATGTTTAGTCTGTTAAGCCGATGTAAAATAACATAGGTCAGAAAGCGCATCGCTAATTCTGCCATTCTGTGTGACGGCGTAAAATAAAGAAGTTGAGAAAATAAAGACGCAGTGGTAAATTCAAGAAATCATCCAGAAAGTGCATTATTTGTCTGCCACAATAATTACATATGTATTTATAATTATCTAATTCAATTGACTAATAAATTAACAATATATTATTATGATTCATACATTATAAAAAATTCATTTATAAATCAATAAGTATATAAAATTAAAGAGATGTTTAAATAAAAAATAAATTTATTAGCGAAATTGGCCTTCTGAGGCCCGTTTGCACACAAACACCCGGCGGCGTCGCTGAATGCGTACAAGAGAACGGCTGGCTCTAGAGCGCTCTCTTCGCTGGCTTTTGAACAAAATTTAAGAGAGCCTGGAGCCAGTTCAAAAGCCAGCACGATAAAATCGTGTGCAAAAAAATCGTATGGCGTTACTTATCTTATAGCTCTATTGTCTTTGATATCACCATGAGTAGCTTTGGTTTATGTCGTTGCATTTTCGCAGACGCAGCTCGACGCAGCCGATGAAAGTTAATTCTGGTCCAGGAAAGATCCACGGAACTTGTAGTCATAGTGTAGTCAGTGGCTTTCATTGGCGTCAGAAGATATAGACTACTAGGGCAGAAAAAGGTGAAAAAATTGACACCTGGCAGGTAGCGATTCACCTGTACAAGCCCAAACCAAAGTGCCGTTTTTTTGGGTTAATTAACAGTTTATGAATGTATCTATAATTTAAAGTAAAAACCATGACCATTAGTTTTATGGTTTTTGTGTAATATTACCTGAAAGTCGACCATTTTACCAGTTTTTTTTTGTATGATGCAAAAAACGAATGAAAGTTCAACTTTGAGTGCTCATATCTTCTACAAAAAAATTTTAAAATAGATTTTAGGTTAATTCGGTGCAAAAAAGGCCACTTTTCAAAAAATTATTGTGGCGAAACGGCTAAAGTTAGCTTAATGAATTAAATACCATATAATAACACAACATTTGGATAATTTTTGATAAATTTTGTAATGAAAAATATTTAGACGTAGAGAAGTTATAGGGAATCTCCCGAGTCGCCTCCAAAAAAAGTTGTTTTGCGGTGTACATCCTAACAGTCCACAGGATCATCCGATCTAAAAAAATTATACCTCATTCGTTAAAAGATAAGTGTCCCGAGGTATTCACGAAGAGTTTTTATTTTTAAAATTTTTTCCCTATTTTTTATCAAAGTTTGAAGTCAAAACCCCGATTTTTGACTAAAAAATTAAGGTAATTTGTTAATTAAAAAAAATAAGAAAATTAAAAATTAAAAAAAGCTCGACGTGAATACCTGTAGAATTATCTAAAGAAGTTATGTTCCAAATTTCAAACCGATTGGTTCAGTAGATTTTGAGTTATCGTGTACACCGATTTTCAAAATGGCATTTTTCAGGAGAGCGCTTTAAACTTTGTGATTCTCATGCATTGAACACCAGACGACCTTCGAAAAAAAAAAAAAAAAAACTTGGACACAATATTCTTAAGATGTTGAACTTTAAAAATAAAAAATAAAATAAAATTTAAGAAAAAAAAATTAAATACCTTACCCCCCCTTAATGACCTGGCCAATCTCGTCCTGCGAGGACTGGGTCTGGTCGAGTCTGGAAACGAGAGCCATTGGGTGAGGGCTTCATCTCCGGACCACGACGACTCGGTTTCCTCGATCCGGCTTCCCGTCCTCGCTTCCTTTCTCGTCCCTGGGTTGGTGGTTGGAGTTAGGTTTAGAGATGCACTAATCTTGTTTTTTTTTTAATTGTTTTATTTAATAAATAATAAATAATTTTCCTTCTTCCTTTCTCCCTCTTTCTTTTTTCACGAACCCCGACGTTCCAGCTTCAAACCATTCCGGGTCAAAAACCTTGGTGGAGCTCAGATATTCCCCTCTCTTCGGAACGGGGTGGCATCCCTGTCCGATATTGCTTACGTTGTTACACGATATATCGGCAGGCACCGCTTAGCTCTACACCGATTATTTTAAGTGGCCATAACATATTTTAGGCGACACAGTATAACACCAAACTACAAAGACATCACAGCGACTTGGAACATTTTACAATCCAAAACATGCAGTTCAAGCCCCACTGATTCCATTTCATGTTCAAAATTTGATCAGCTCTTATGTTTTCCATCACTTTTATAAATTTAAAAATTGCGTTGATATTCGCGCATTAAGTCTTGCCGTTCGCTCTTGTGCAATCAGCTGACTTTGGAAGACTGGTGCGGAATGGTGCCACCTGGGAAGATTTCGAGTATGGCAGGTTGATGGTCACTCTATTTCTAATTAATCGATACCAAAATAACTTTATTTGGTAAACTTTAAAAAAATGGGCTTTGGCCAAATAAAGTGGTCGACTGAATCATAGTGGGGCGCAAGCTGCCGTATTTTTATACCCTTGCAGGGTATTATAATTTCAGTCAGAAGTTTGCAACGCAGTGAAGGAGACGTTTCCGACCCTATAAAGTATATATATTCTTGATCAGCATCAACAGCCGAGTCGATCTAGCCATGTCCGTCTGTCCGTCTGTCCGTCTGTCCGTCCGTCTGTCCGTCCGTCCGTCTGTCCGTTTCTACGCAAACTAGTCCCTCAGTTTCAAAGCTATCTGAATGAAACTTTGCATATAGTCTTTTATATACTCTCACTGCTATATATGTCGGAACGGGCGGGATCGGACCACTATATCATATAGCTGCCATACAAATGTTCGATACATTTTTGGAAAAAAAATTATAACTTGGCTGTTTTTCAATATTATTCCATCATTTTTGAGATATAGCCATTTTATATTATTCCAGAATTTTGGTAAAAATTTTATAAACATTGAACCACTATATCTTATAGCTGCCATAGGAACGATCGGGAAATTAATCGAAAAAAATTATAACTTCGTTGTTTTTCAACGTATTTTAATCTACTTTGGTACATGAGCTTCTGGTATTATTTCAGAATTTTGTTATAAATTTTATGAAAATCAAAAGACTATATCTTATAGCTGCCATAGGAACGATCGAGAAATTAATAGGAAAAAAACGATAACTTCGTTGTTTTTCAACAACTTCGGGATATAAGCTTATTTTATTATTCTAGAATTTTTGTATAAATTTCATAAAAATCTGACAACTATATCATATAGCTGCCATAGAACCGATCCGCAGGTGTAGAGAAAATGTAAAGCTGGGAATGTATAACTGTAACTCAAACTGTAAACATAATAAGTATAGGTAAAATGTTACGAAACTCTGTTTAGTGTCTGTTTTCGGCATTATAATTTATTATATAAATATGAAAACCAATCTCCAAGGGTATATAAACTTCGGCGTGCCGAAGTTAGCTTCCTTATTTTAGGAACTTAATAAGGGTTCAAATTTAATTGTCAAAGACACTTTGAGATAATTAAGTTCAAGATATAAATATCCCAATTAAGGTTTATCCCTTAACTAGAAACTAAAAAGGTTATGGATCTTAATACGCCAAAGGAAGAAGCTATGGTATTAATTATTTAGATATACATATTTATATTTATAAATCTATATATATAAAAATCAATTGCTGTTCGTTAGTCTCGCTAAAACTCGAGAATGGCTGAACGGATTTATCTTATCTTGGTCTTGAATTATTCGTGGAGGTCTAGGGAAGGTTTAAAAGGTGAGAAAAATTCGAATAATTGCCGGGAAAATCCTCAAAACAGTATTTTTCTATTTCCCATACAAACGTTTTCTAAATAAAATGGAGAGTCAATTTGTAATTTATTACCGCTGTATAAAGTTCAAATTCGCATGCGCGTTGGAGGATCTAATATCGCGTTCCGAAACTCAACA